AAGTCTTATAAAGGTCTCAAATTTCATCAGCTTATACCTGCAAGAACCTTCAAATGTGATTGTAGGGAAAGCGTCTCTAAAGTTGACTTTATAGAAGGATCCATAGGAATTGCGCACTACAATCCTTTCTCCTTTTGTATCCTTCCTGACAAACCTTTCCTTAAATCCCTATTAATGGCTGAACAATGAAATTTAAATCCGTAATGCAAAGGATTTTCTCCCTTATGGCATACGCATCTCAAAGTGATTCCATTACCTGATGAATTCCCTTACCAGACGGCGCTGTTCGTGACTTCGGAACGCCGTATTCAGGCAGTCATACTCATCCTCAATTGTGTCATACCGATTCTCACCACTATGGCATGTTATCTTGTCATGATCATGGCGGTAAGTCTGAGCAACAGTGTGGTCAATTATTTCCAGAGCTTATTTTCATCAAATGACAATGAATATCTATCTGTCTGTCTCTTTCAATATGTATTATCTATCTATCTATCTCTTTCATTATGTCTTCTATCTATCCATCACTTTCAATAAATGTTATCTATCTCTTTCAATATGTTATCTATCTATCCCTTTCAATTAATGTTATCTATATATCTATCTCTTTCAGTATATGTTATCTATCTATTTCAGCATATTTATTTATTTATCTATTCTTTTCAAACGTTTTTTTTTTTGTTTGTTTTTAGGTGAGACGCAACAGGCAGCGGCTGAACGAAGTCCAATCTCGATCCTCTTTGAAGATCATCGACAACGCCACCCGAGCCATGATCGCTGTCTTCGTTTCCAACCTTGTCTTCGGCCTTCCCTTCTGCATCTCCCAGCTCATGCGCCGTAAGATCTCGCGAATGCTACTGAACTTCATCTACGTTATTTACAACACCCACCTGATGGTCGACCCTCTGGTGTTCATCTTCTTCAACTATAGCCATCGCCGGCGAGTGTGCAATCGGATTCGGACGGGTTGGACGTGGGCGACGGGGGTTTACAGGACGAAGGACGAAGACCGGACGAAGACCGACACCGGCTTGGACACTGAGCAGAGGACTGACTCGTGCGAAAAGTCAGGCAGCTCCTCAGTCGAAGTCAGAGGCTACACGCCCGAACACACGTCTTCGCAGAATGAACTTCGCGTTTGATAGTGTGTGGATTGAATCGAAAATACAAAGAACCACTGAGGATAATTGTGACAGTGCGTTTTCTTCATGAAAATCATAAAATATAATTCAAATGTATATATTTTATATAGCAGCAGCTTCGTGTTTTACCTTCGGGAATAAATTACGTGTTACTAATCTAACCTGCAACACCAAAATCTTACAGTTATTTCAAGTCTTGTGGACGGAGCATCGGCGCTTCCAGGCTTACGATAACCCATCAGGTTAAAATGTACTGTACCATTTGAACAAAACTGTAGCACGACGGTTTCTTTACATAAACAAGAAATGGTATGATCATAAAGGCAATTGAGATAATAGCTTACATCTGGTGCAACATTACATGCTAGAATGATAAAGAGTTATAACTTAATTGCCTTATAAACAAACATTTTACTGGATTTGCATAACTTACCTGACTGACTTCCACATTCCAACCATGCTAAATCATTATTCTTAAAGCTATTATTCACACAGCAGTGATGTTGATTATTAAAGCTAATAAATAAAAATACAGTAATAGTTATGATGATAATAACAATGACAACGCTAATATAACAATTGCAGATGGTGATAATAACAATGACAACGCTAATATAACAATTACAGATGATGATAATTATAATAAAATATTGTACATTCATATTGTGCTTATTTATTTACAACGGCTACTCCTGCTATAATTCATTAGTAGATATCGATAGGAATCTCTTGACATTTGGTAGGTTTGGAGATGCAAAGTGGTTGCAAAAAAATCATACTTATTATCTATTTTACCAATAATAATGATAATGGTTATTACTACTACTACTATCATTATTATTATTATTGTTATTATTAGCCTATCATTATTATAATTGTTATTGTTTTTATTATTAGTATATATTGTTACTATCATCATATATCATTAACATCATTTATATTAAAGATTTTAAAAGAGATTTAGTTTTATTTCCATTTGTTACAATGGATATTCTTTGCTGTGACATACTGACTGTTTTATGTTGCCCAAATCTCCCCCTGTGTGCAAGGAGTGGCCGGGGATACCACTCACTGGCCGGGCGTGGGATTGAACGCAGGTCCGCAGGATTGCTAGACCAGCACCTTACCGCTGCGCCAGCACAGCACACAAAACAGCTGGTAATATTTTAGTTTCTGTGGAGCTTTATACGAAGGATCACTTACTGCCTCTTAAAATTATACAAATCCAAATGTATTGCTCAGACTGAAACTGAACTTCGACAGTGTTTATTCAGTTATCTGCCTTTTGATCATTCTCAATTACATATTATAATACTATATATAATTCTCTTTTTTTTCTTTTTTTGTTTCTCATTAAAAGATAATCAAAAGGCATCTTTTCCGGTGGCAATTAGGGTGTCTCGCGACGCGACGCGACACCAAAAGCTGTGTAGTGTTTACCCCTTTCTGAGACACTTTCAAACTACAACGCGGGTCTTGCAGAGTGCAACTTACGAACAGGGGAGCTGCTTTCAAAAGGGTGGCAGCTGGCGTGTACTGCAGCATGACCCGCTCGTCACAATCCTGAAGCCCTTTAACCCCGTAAGTAAGACACTATTACATTATCTTTAGTTAAATCATTATCATTAACTTTCCCCAATCTCCGCTGTTATTTATCAGTGAAGTCATTTCCTTTTCCATCTTTTACAATTTCATTTCATTAATATCAACTGCGTCCATTCTCCTTTTAAAACCAAATAAAAAAGTAAAATAAACAAACCAAGGATAAAACGAACCCAAAGCATAAAAAGGAAAACCTGAGATCCCCTCAGTCTGTATATTCACAAAAGTTACAATGCATATAACACATCCTAACTGGCCTCTTACAAAACATGAAAATACTTATCTTTCTCTCTTGTAGAAAAAAAAAAAACCCGAAGAAACAAACAACAAAACAGGAGACGTCCAGTGAGGCCGGGGCGTCCGTGAGCAGCACTGACTGCCAGCAACAACGCAAGAGAGAGTCTAGCATAAAACAGGCTCTTATAAAATGTGTAAATAATAAAAATGAATGAAAATAAAAGGTTTACTTTACATAATTAAAAGAAATTAAAATAAAACTAGAGGCCGTGAGAAAAAGCTAAAATAAATAAAACATAAAAATACGAAAAATAAAAGGCTCCAGGGACGCAAAACTGCAGCTGGCTACCGCCGATCCCCAAGATGGTGCTGGCTAGAAAATGGGGGACTCACCTAGTCTGGACTCATGCTTAGTGGGGGTACCTCACGTCCTCTACAGCTGTCTCGTGATCGGAGGCGAGACAGGCCTCTAAGCTCCGCCCATTTCTGTGACGTAATGGGAATGATCGCGGTTGACGGCTTGCTATTTTACTGTACTGGTTATTTTTACGACAGGTACACAGTATTTTGGAATATGATATCCAAGGTGGCTTTTGATATCTCATGGTGGGTAGTGTGGTGTTATAGATATGCAATATAAGTACGAATATGCATGAAATATCCCAAGTAGGAGGAATGCATCTGGCAACTCTATTAAAGTTAACCGTCTGCTCAATTCCTGTCGCGCAAGAGGTGTCGCGTTTCCTGTAACCGCTGGAAAAGATGCCTAAAAACAGTCCTGCGAGTTTAACGATAAGTGTAAGCAATATAAAGAAATTCAGACAATCATTTATCATCCTTTTATCCACCGACGTCTAAAAATGAGCGTTATACCTTTCTGAATAATCTTATACCGTTTTCACTCGCATTTCATTATAATATATAATTTACATTCTACATAAACGTGATGAAAGAGATGTTCTACGCCAAACTTGCATCTATGGCAGACTTGTAACCGGCGAGATATTCGCATTGTTCTGGGTGACTTCAATGATCGAGCTGGCTATGAGATGTCTGCCGGTCCCCATGGTTCGGGAGCTGATGTCAGTTGCGAGAATAGCCACCTTTTCCGAGATTCTGCAAGGTCCCAGAAACTGAAGATTTCTGGTTCCTGGTACCGGTACTCAGAGCCACATCGTTGGATATGGTCCAGCGATGCGGATAATACTATCGAGCTTCTTATCTGTTAGTTCAGGAGTGAGGCAAGGCTGTGTCCTTGCACCAACACTTTTCAACACTTGTCATGGCCTGGATACTGGGCAGAGCTACTGTTCAAAGTCATTGTGGGGCAAATCTGGGCAATATCAAGGTTACTGACCTTGATTTTGCTGATGATGTTGCTATTCTATCTGAGTTTTTGGAACCTTTAGTAGTGGCTCTGGATGCATTTAGTAATGGAGTGAAATTAGGTTAGAGTCTCCTGGACCAAAAGATCGGACTTTGGGGACTTGCTAGGGAACCTATTCGTCGGTACGTGCTTGCGCAAGACTTTGAAGTCACGGAGAGCTTTACATACCTCGGTAGTGTAGTTCATAACTCTGGGCTGTCAGACCAAGAAGTCAGCAGACGGGGGGCAGGGGTCATGAACTCTCTCGTCAAAAGTATTTTGAGATGCCGGTACCTATGCAGAAGGACCAAGCTACACGTTTTGTTTTCAAGGCCCTGGTAATGCGTTTTGCTATACGATAATGTAACCTGGACATTATATTGTGCCTTGGAGTCTCGTCAAGCTGACCCCAACCAAACCGTGCTTCGTGATTCATGGAGGCGACTGGAGGTCATGGTTCGTAGACGGTAGGAAGCCCGAAATAAAGGAAACAAAGGAATCGATACCTAAACGTTTACACCCATTACCTCGAAGTTTTGACCAAAGCTATTTATTAATGTTTGGTTACTCAGAAGGCGCTATTTGAGACGATACATTATTCACACCTACAAATACTGCACACAGTGTGTCTGTGTGAGAAACAGAGAGATAGAGAGAGGGAGGGAGGGAGGGAGGGAGAGAGAGAGAGAGAGAGAGAGAGAGAGAGAGAGGAGGAGAGAGAGAGAGAGAGAGAGAGAAGAGAGAGAGAGAGAGAGAGAGAGGAGAGAGAGATGAGAGAGAGAGGGAGAGAGAGAGAGGGAGAGGGGGAATAGGAGAGAGAGAGAGAGAGAGAGAGAGAGAGAGAGAGAGAGAGAGAGAGAGAGAGAGAGAGAGAGAGAGAGAGAGAGAGAGGAGAGAGAGAGAGAGAGAGAGAGAGAGAGAGAGAGAGAGAGAGAGAGAGAGAGGAGAGAGAGAGAGAGGAGAGAGAGAGAGAGAGAGAGAGAGAGAGAGAGAGAGAGAGAGAGGAGAGAGAGAGAGAGAGAGAGAGAGAGAGAGAGAGAGAGAGAGAGAGAGAGAGGAGAGAGAGAGAGAGGGGGGTGCGGACGCTAGCCTTGATAGGAGGGGACAGAAACAGCAGAATACTCACTTCTTACTTTGCCTAGCTAGTCCAGATCACCCCTCCTTTCTCCCCCCCTTTCCTATGTCCAGGTTGTTTTATACTCTGCCGAAGATTTATGTTTTCTGAACCTTCTCCAAAGAAGCTGCTTGCTTTTTCTCATTTATCATTGTACCACTTTTGGTCATTTCTTGCTTCAGCTTTAGATCTTGAAACAAATTTATTTGCTTTCTTTGTAGGCTTCGCAATTATTTCATAGTTTGTATATTGATGATCTCTTCGTCCAGGATTATATCCCAGTTTAAATCATCAAAGAAATCTTTTTAGCTTTTATAATAACCTCTCTTTTGGTTGCACTTTCTCTTCCTTTCCTTACTTATGATGAAATTTTACTGTAACAGATAGCATTTTAGTTTAATTACAATATGGTCACTTTTTTCCTTGATGACAGTGCCCTGTATCTTTATATCTTAAGCGCGTGTGTTCGCGCGCATGTTTATTTATCAGTGTTATTATTATTGCTGTCGGTTTTATTATTATTCTCATAATTTTTATTCATTCATTCCTTTATTAATTTATTTATTCATTTTATGTTGTATGTGTGCGTGTACGCGCGCGCTCCTGTGTATGTGCGTGCGTGTATGAGTGGGATGCCAACAAGTAAATAAAGAGCAATTGTCAGTAAATCGTCTCGTAAACTTTCCATCGCGTAAAATTGCTCCAAAATAAGCATCGCCTAACGAAATAAACCGAATAAACCTTCTCCCTTCACACTCCAGAACTTTGACAACATTCACGCGAAAGCAAGGCGATGCAAACCACCGTCACCTTAACGCGATATAGATTGTGAGAAGAGGAAATAAGCGCACACCAGCCAGCATTGCAAGAGGCCTGTCACTTCTTGCAGACGAGATTGATGCAAATTGATGCAGTTTCACCTTGCAAAGAAGTAAGGAGCAAACACGCACACTTGTTATTAGAATTCTTGAGTAGTTATGGGTGGGCTGTTAAAGGAAAATCGTTATTTTGATTATTTAATTTTGTCCCAAATTCTGGTTGTCCGCTAATGTTGATATGATCAGTTTTGCTGGAAAACGGTTTACTTTATTACCTATATATATATTTATGTGGGCTGAATGATTTGTCTGGCATAGTTTTGTAGTATAGTCTAACCAAGTCACTTAAGATTTTATTACATTCCTATGAAATACAGTTGTTCTATTGCTATAATGAAATACTGTATAAAACATCTTCCTCTTTACATTCATGATATAATGTAAAATGCCTATTTTTAGATGGTTCGGTTCTGGCTAAGAGTCCTGACTCCACGAGGACGTCGCATTTACCTTGTATTGGCCAGTGGACTCTTCCTCCTGTCGATATCCTTATTAGTTGCGCGATCGTGGAAGCTGAAGTCAGCTGCGGGAAACTTCCTTTATCACGAAGAACTACAAAGAACTGCTGAGGAAATAGGCTCTAGTTTTTACTACGAGCCTCACAAAGAAGCAGAGAGGGTTTTTAGCCACAAGGAAAGCAAAGGAGGACTCACATGGTTTGTTCAGGTGTGGTACAAATTTCTTTTCTTCTTTTTTAAATTCTGAAATGTCTTGATTTAAGAGGGGAGAAGGGTGTTTTTGTTTGGAAATATATATGGTAGTACAATTTAAGTAATTCTATTTCTCAGTATTGTGTACTTTTACACACATTCAAAAGAAGACACAAAGACAAAAGGCATCTATTCCAGTGGCAATTAGGGTGTCGCGAAACGCTCTGCGACACCTATTTCTGTGACGTAATGGGAATGATCGTGGTTGACGGCTTGCTATTTTACTGTACTGGTTATTTTTCCAACAGGTAAACAGTATTTTGGAATATGATATCCAAGGTGGCTTTTGATATCTTATGGTGGATAGTGCGGTGTTATAGATATCCAATATAAGTACGAATATGCATGAAATATCCAAAGTAGGAGGAATGCATCTGGCAACTCATTAAAAGTTAAGCGTCTGCTCGATTCCTGTCGCGCAAGAGGTGTCGCATTTCCCATAACCGCTGGA